ATATCTATATCTATATCTATATCTATATCTATATCTATATCTATATCTCTATCTCTATCTCTATCTCTATATCTATATCTATATCTAAGTATCTACTCTTATGCATCCTTCTAGATTCTTCTCCTCTCATGTCTGTCATGTCTGATAGTCTGTCCCACACTGCCCTCTAGATCGCCCTTATCGCCTATCATGCCTGATTGCATAAGTATCTGAACATTGTTCTCCTCCGGGTAACTTCAAGTCGAGTACTCCCCACTGGCGCACTTGTGTTTGCCCTCATGTCCGCTGTCTGCAACAGACACTATTTTATTCTTCTCTCTCTCTCTCCCTCACTCCTCTTCTGTCGCTCATCGGCGAATACGTTTGAAACGCACCTCGCATAATTATGTTATGTTTACGTTTTAATCGCGTATCTACACTTGTTATGCGCGCACATGAATATTTATATGAATTTCAAGGTTGTTGAAGATTTTGGCGCGTATGTGTGTGTGTGTGTGTGTGTGCGCGATAAAGCGCAAAGAGTGTGTTCCTGTGTATGTGTGTGTTCGGGAAGTTCGTTTATCTAATCGCTGGGCCAAACAGTGCTCAATGCGTGTTAAAGTACGTGTTGCACATATGTAAACAATAATTGGCAGCTGCTCAGCTGCTGCTGCTGCTGGGTCCGCCGCCTGGCAACGCTGCGTATGCGTGATTTATGAGTTGATGCGGAGAAATTTGCTTGACATGCAAAGCCAGCGATTGGCTCAGCTCGGCTTGGCCTGGCTTGCCTTATTGGCCAATTGCCCACACAAGTCACGCGCCCAGCCAGCGAGCCAGCTACGATGCTAAATAGAGCTCCACATATAGAGTATACATACATATATTGGATATCCGATATGTCCTTCGATCGCAAGCAGAGTCAACAAACTGCTATGATATGATGTGCGTGAGTGTGTGACTATAATACATATTGATATAATGTATGTATATATATATATTTATGTGTATATCTTGCTGTGCTGCACTTCTCTCTCCCTCTCTCCCCCTCCCCCTCTCTCTCTCTCTCTCCATCGCACGCAATTTATCAGCCATCAAATTGCCGTGGGAAGCTAAAATGCCAACAAAAACTTAACAAATTGGCTGTGCAAATAGGAAGCAGCAAATGCAGTGCATAAATAGATAACAATTTGTTATTGTTGTTGTCGCCGCTTAGATAAGCAACAGCTGGCCTCTGGCTGAATACACGTTTAGCTTTAGATTGACGCTTGGCCACGTGTTGTTGCTAACAATCAACAGCACGTTGTCCGACCTGAGCTGGAGCTTTAGCGATCCCCCCAAGCCTCGCCACGCCCCCCCTTTGTGGTTGCTTGACAACAGCGAGCTGTTACTACGCCCCTTTTGCGGCTTGAATGAGCTGCCCAGAAAATGCGGAAGTCATTTTTCGGCTCATTATAATTATGTTGCTCATGAGTAATAACTGAACATCATCATCAACGTTATCATCATCATCATCGTCTTGTGTGTAAGACAGGCGGCCACGCGCCTCTGCTGTTTGTTTCCTCTATAAGGCAAAAGCAAACATATGTCACTCTCTCTCTCACTAGCTGCCTCACTCCCTCCCCCTCTCCCCCCTCTCTCTCTCTCTCCCTCTCCAACTCTCTCATTCCGTAAAGCTTGAGGTCAACTAAAGTCAGCTATGAGCGACGCATAGATACGCCGTAAAGCACTTTTTCTTATATACAAGTAATGCCAATCTGCATAGGCTTGTCGTATTACAGGGTATTCATAGCTGAGCATATGCCTTCTGCTTCGTTCTTTTTTGGCAATAAATTGTATTATGAATGCCGAGCAAAGTCACAAAATGAGAAGCACGTGGCGCGCGCAACGATGCCGACCGGCTGATAAGAGCGATTCACAAACAAACCCACACACACACACACACACACACACACACACACACACACACATAGACTCACACGCATGCTTACGCATACACACACACACACATGCACACACTCACACATACAGACGAATTTGTTATCAACTCAGCAATTAGCAAACGTAAATTGACGTCAAGCAAATTTACTATAGCTGAAAAAAAAAAAGACGAAATAATTATATATAGATGTGGGTACTCACATACGGAATTTGTGCACAGATTGTCTATGGGTTTCCTGAGGCGGGTGCGGGGGCGGAGGCGCGAGGCGACGTAAAGCTTAACTAGCTGGTAACGCATAAGCGAACTAGTTCATGAGCGTAACAGAGCGCATTAAATGGAAATCTGTTTAGTTTGAATGAGTTTTAATTTATGGAATACTACGCCAGCTGGATAGGCAACCTAGCTGACACGCTTCAGAAGTATGTGTTGGCTGAGCTAGCTCAGGCGAACTAGTTCATAGCAATGGTCTCATGAGCTTGCTTATGAATGGCAAATTTATTCATCGGATCAGAAGAAATTCAAACAAAAATTCCTAATGAATTGAGTATTGGAATATAGGAGAGATTCAGTGAACGAGCGCTGGAACTAGCGATTCAGCAAAGAGCTAAAACTCATTCAGAAGTGAACACGATGCAATACACAAACGTAGTCATTAAATTAGGAAAAAAAAACATGATTAGACAAGGAACTAGAACTAGTTCCAAAATGAGCTGCATTTGATAATAACAAAGTTATATGAAATAATGTATTTTATAACTTAAGTTAACTGAAACTAGTTCATTGGAACTAGTTCAATGGAACTTGTTCATTGGGATGAGTTCACTAGCATTATTTCATTGGAATTATTTCACTAGAACTTGTTCACTGAAACTAGTTCACTGGAACTTATTCACTTGAACTGGTTCAGTAGACCTTGTTCACTTGACATAGTTCAGTAGAACTTGTTCCCTTGAACTAGTTCACTAGAACTTATTCAATTTCACTAGAACTATTTCATTGCAACTATTCCATTAGAACTTGTTCACTGAAACTAGTTCACTGGAACTTATTCACTTGAAATGGTTCAGTAGAACTTGTTCACTTGAACTAGTTCACTAGAACTTGTTCAGTTGAACTTTTTCACTTGTACTTGTTCACTTGAACTAGCTCACTGATAGAACTGTATTTTTCGTAGATTAACACTGCAATTTAGAGCGAAAACGAATTCATTAACGAATCAAATACTCATGCTTTCACTGATCCCATAAATCCCATATAATCTAACTATAGAAATATAACAAATTCAACTAGTTCAAACAAGTAAGCTAAGCAAACAAAGTCGGCTGGGAAAGGTCTGTTTATTTTCACATCACAGGCTAAACATTTTCAGTTTCGAATCAAATCGTTCATCAAATGAATTTAAAAATCTAGAATCAGTTCAAACAGTTGAAAATCTAATAATGATAAACGCGATAAAACAGCAAAAAGTTAACAAATACTAAAACAAATATATATATATATATGTATTTTCTCGTATTGGCTCTTTGCAGAGAAATTCCTGGGCCAGCACAATCCCGGACATCGTAACAGCACCAGCAGCGAGGCAACCAGCGAGGACATAAATTCCAGCGACGAGCACCTAAACAAGTCCAAATGCCGAGTGGGCAACAATCCGGGCAATCAGCAAAGTAGCGGCAACAACAACGGCAACGGCAACGGCAACAACAACGGCAACGGCAACAAGTCGCGCTCGAAGCGTCAGCAGAAGGCGCAGGCGTTGAAGCAGACGGCTGGACAGGTGCAAGTGCAGATACAGGTGCAGGTGCCACAGGAGCAACAGCAGCCGAATAATAAAGCTAACGGCAAGTGCAAGGGCAAGTGGCGCAACAACAACAATAACAACAACAACAACAACAATAATAACTGCAACAACGGTAACAACGGCAACAATTGCAATTCCAAGCGTGGCAAGGCAAAGCAAAACAAGTGCAACAACAACTACAACAGCAACAACAACAGAATGCACAACAACAACAACGGCGGCCACAACAACAACAACAGCAACAACAACAACGGCAACGGCAACAACATGAAATTCAACAGCTCCAATTCATCATCCGCTGTGAGCTCACCTGGCGGCTCACCCCTTGGCAGCAGCTGCAGCAGCATACGCCACAACAATAGCAACAGCAGCAACCAGTACAACAACCAGCGCAACAACAACAACAACAAGCATGGAGTCAAATCGATTACGAGCTGGCAACGCGAAGAGCGCCAGCTGCACAAGGCCCAACAGCGCCAGAATTTGAATTTCCTGGTGCCGCCGCTGCGTCAATACGAGCGCCTGGACATCGATGATGGGGCGCTGATGCGCCAGCTGCGTCGCTATCTGATCGATCAGAATCTGTTGCGCGTCTATGGGTTCCCGGTGGCCAGTGTGGTGCACGACGGCGCCATTGAGATCTTCAAGTGTCTGCCGCACATGAGCTTTGCGGCCGCGCATGTGATGGCCGTGGCCGAGTCGGCATTGACGGTGATCAATTGCCATGATGGCCTGAATACGAGCAATTTCGAATATGCTGGCGGGCAGGAGGTGGTGGGCCATCCCGACGAGATCATTGGCGGCGGCACCGGCCGCATCAGCAGCAGCAGCAACAGCAGCACCACCAGCGGCAACAGCAGCACCAATGCCACCGGCAACAGCAACCAAAATGACAACGACAACGAGAACGACAACGAGAACGACAACAACAACGACAGCAGCAGCGACAGCCCAACAGCAATATCCACTGATTCGGGCAATATATCGCCACGTTCGATCGACTCGGAATCGGGAGGCGAATGGAGCGGCAGCGAATGCGAATCGGCACCGAGTGCCGAGAGCAGCTATGGACTGGAGCTGTATTGCAACTACCCGACGGTGGAGCGCACCCTGGCCAAGGAGTGTGTGCGCTGCAAGCGCGAGTTTCTGGTGGACGACCAGAGCGGACAGTATTTGACGCGCGAGGAGTGCACATACCATTGGGGCAAATACCATCGCTGCTACGATGGCAATGTCTGGGTGAGCCGCTGGACCTGTTGCAATGGCACCGAGGAATCGGATCCCGGTTGCACGCATCACGATCTCCATGTGTGGACCGGATCGGTGGTGGGCGTGAATGGGCCCTATCATGATTTTGTCCATACACGACCGCGCAGCGGCACGTCGGCCCGCAACCGTGAGCCGCCCGCCGTCTATGCGCTCGACTGCGAGATGAGCTATACGGGCCGCGGCCTGGACGTCACCAAAGTATCGCTGGTGGCCCTCAACGGGCAGCTGGTGTACGAGCATTATGTGCGGCCGGATGCCGATATTGTTGACTATAATACACGCTTCTCGGGCGTCACCGCCAAGGATCTCAAGGCGAACGGCTGCAAGTCGCTGGCCGAGGTGCAGCGCGATCTGCTTGAGCTGATCGATGCGGACACCATACTGATCGGCCATGGGCTGGACAATGATTTGCGCGCACTGCGCATTGTCCACAATACGCTGATCGACACATCGATTGCGTTTCCGCACACAAGCGGATTCCCCTATCGTCGGGCCCTGCGCCACCTGACCAAGACGCATCTCAATCGCGAGATCCAGAGCGGGGACGGTGCCACCGGACACAGCAGTTTCGAGGATTCGCGCGCCTGCATGGAGCTGATGCTGTGGCGTGTGCGCCGTGAGCTGGCCGCCGGCGTTGCCTGGGAGGATTAGAAGATATGTCTTAATGTGGACAACTCAACAATCACAGCGTCCACGCCCCCCACACACTCACACACACACACAAAGACGTCCAAGCTCTGGCCAGGGGGCGGGTCGCATTCACTGTATCGCCGTATCGTATCAGATCTATGGGCGGGGCAACCCAAGTACTTTTAGTCTGTAAGACGTTTCTAGTTTTAGTGAAAATTGTTTTTTTTTTTTTTTTTTTTGGGGTGATACCCCCCCTTACACACACCCACACACACACACACACACACACGCACACACGGATGATCGCTTTTTGTATTTAATCTCAGTCTATGTTTGGCCTACATTGCACATCCGAAATAATAGTCCCCATTGAACCATTAACAAGCCCCACGGACCACGCCCTCCTGTTGTGCTCCCTGCTAAATTCTGTCCATCCCCCTGTACTTGTCCCATGTCTATCTATGTGTGTTGTTTTTTTTTTAGCCCCGCCTCATCTAAATTCGAGGCCCACACCGCACGCCCCCCCCTTAGTCACCCCCACCAACCCCGCTGAATCGACCCAACTCATCAGCATTGGCGCCCCAATCTGACGAAGCAGCTTGGCTTGGGCAACGCCATTGCGAACTGAGAAAGAAATCCCCAAACGAGAATCACATATATACACACACGCACACGCACACGCACAAATGCAATTATGTAAAAGGAAATAATAAAAGCGACAAGGAAATTGACCAAAAAAAAAAAAAGAAAAGAAAAAAAAAGCAAACAATAATTTGGAATAGGAAAGCGAAAACAAAACAAACAAAACTGACAAAATGTCGTTTATATAGAGCAAAGTCTATTTTTAGTTATACGACGATATATATATATGTAATATGTGTGTATATATACATATGTATATGTATAGAGATCTATTGATATGCCCATAAATATGTAAACATATACAGAGATCTGTATGTATATGTATATGTATATGTATATGTATATGTATATGTATATGTATATGT